AAAAGTAGAGTGGTCCCCCTAAGCGGAAAGGCTCGTGGTGGGACACGAGTCTGAACGTACAGTGCAATGTGGGCAGTCTCCAGCGTCCTGGAAGGCTTGGTCACACTGCTAATCTGGGCTCAAATCCCTAGGCTGGGATTTTGCACAGTGGAAAGGGAGTGCCGAAATGGAGTTCTGCTTTCTGCAAAGGTTCCAGGAGGAGAGGGGGAAGGTGGCTGGTAAAGCCAAACCAATCCTCACGTTTTGACAAGAAGATGGCTTCATGGTTGCACAGCTGCTTCTACAGCTTTCTCCTCCTCTCTGACTCAACCGTGGGACTCCAAAGAGGGGAGTGACATAGGTGAGTGATGGAGCTTTCCAGATGTCCGAGCACCCTCAAGTACACAAAATCTCATAGGTTAGGTACTAGCAGATGATTCTTCTATAATTTTACAAGGTAAAATACTGTGTTTTTTCCCCCGACTTCCCCATTGTGGGAATAATTATTTTTTTTTTAATTAAACCTGTCTGGGGGTGATTCTGGCCTGTAATTTGCTAGGTTGAATTTTCAAGTATTTATAAATAATTATTATCCAAAAAGTGGATTATAATTATAAATAAATATTTATTTTATAATGCAATTATCATTAAATATAATTATAAATATAATTATAAATAAATAATTATTTTCCAAACAGTGGATATCATTCTCCATTTGAAATTCATGGCGTAAGATGTTCAGACTTTCTGGTAGTGGGCAGTTGAAATGAAGCAATAGGGGCTGCAAGAACTGCATTCTGAAAAACTATGCTGGGAAACTACACCGTGTTTCGTTCAAAATTTTATCTATATCTATAGGCTTTCTGGGCTTGTTATTTTTTTTTTTTTTGTTCTGTATAGTCTTATACATATTATCTGACTGTTAATGTAGTTTTGCCATGGCTTGAAAAAGTTGCAAAAAATGTTGGCCAAGTGACAATCTGTGCATTTTCTGTAACAAATGGTCTCCAGCTTTATGTTCAACAAATAAAGGTGGTGTGTAGTAGTTTAAGATAAATGTGTTTGAGAAACTTAAATATATTATTTCCTTTGCCAGTTCATATTAGTTTTGACTTTACACATTACTTTTAAATTTGGAAGAAAAGCAAAAAAATTGCTTTTGGTCTAGTGGAGTTTCTTTGTTTTGGTATCTTTCCTACCCTGCAGCTGCTCCTCTCCAGTGGCTTGGAGAGCCCAGGATACCAGAAGATTTGTGGAAAATACTCTCAGATCTTGTTGTTGTCTAATAATGCATATGTCAGTTTAGACTCTCTTTCAATAATATATATTTTATGTTTGGCTGAGCTTCTTTATCCTTCTTCATGTAAAGGTTGTTATCATTTTTATCTGCAAGTGCTCATCCACTGCAGGCTTAATGCAAAGCTGATTGTAACCCTACTGCATCTTACGATGAATAGATCATTGATACCCAACTAAGTGGAAATAATTTTCTATGGCAAAGCAGAAGAATTTAAAGTCATATCACACTAACCTCTGGTAATTTACTGGGATTTACAGATTAAAATGATTGTTTGTGAAATGACTGTGGTATAGCATACACTTTAGATAGATGAGGAAAATCGAACACATTTTGTATGATTGTATACACTTGTCTATTTTTACATGTGTGCATAAGCATTTTGTTTGTATATACATAGCATATGCAGTATAGCTTACTGTAACCTGTGTAAAAATACATATAATATTTATGTAACACACACGTTTGACAGCTTTGAGACTGCAGATGGGTTTTTGGAAGTTGTGATTATTTTTTTTTTCAGCTTTGATTTAGCTTATTACTTTCTCATAAGGAAAAGAAATATACTTTTAACTCATGCTAATTAAGTTAGTCTGAAGCTCTATCAGTTGAATCAACCAGAAGAACATTGGTTAAGTCTAGGATCACGTAATTGATGCTAACAATGTAATTTTACTGCATTGGCAGGTAAACACACAGTGTTGTTTTGTCTTTGTTCCATTGGTAGACTTCCCTTGCTTTTTTGTGTAAACCTCCTAGTAAATAATTTGCAATTTATTAGGAAAACAATGACAATGCATATAATTAGCTATTCTCTTTTGTTACCTCTATTTGATTACTTTCCTGCTATCACATGCAATATGAAACCATCTATTATGAGGTATAGAATATGTAAATATCTAACTTTACAAGAGAAACTGGAGACCGGTCTTTTTTCTAAAGAGATGGAAAATAAAAGAATAATTGTTAACCATGTCCTTTCATTTTCTTGAAAACATCAATTACATTTACAAATCCTAGAAACACAAGCCCACCAGTGGAACAGAAATAACTCCTTTCAATATGCTTCAAAAAATCTAATCACATCTAACAGCTGAAATTTATTTACAACTGTAATTTGAAACATTAATTATGATAATGTGCTGACTTCTTTTGTAACATGGTTCTCAAAAGCCTGTCAGTTCTCTTTGGTCTTGATGTAGCATATGTTTTGTGACTTGGAGAATTTATCTACCTTCTTTTTTATTTTTATTTTTTGAAATATACCCAGAAGAGAAATTTATTTTTCTCCTCTGTTTGTCACCTTCCCCATTATTTCTGCCCCCTCCCCCCCCCCAATGGCTGTTAATTTAAGAGATGGATTTGAGTGCTTATACTGAGTCTTAATGCTATCGACAACTGAATTTATTGCTTTGTATTTTGGACACAGCAGACAGTAGCAGTGAGAATTTACTATACTGTGATACCAGTGCACTTCAACAGCATCAGAGCAGGAAAAAGCTTTTTATATCTTTGTCTTGTCTTGAGACTATGGCTTTAGAAGGTGCCTTCTTGATATACATATGTATTTGGCTTTTTTAAATTGGTTATTAAATTATTTTTGAAACAGCTTGGTTATTGCTATGCTAGCTTATTTAGTTGTGAGTAAAGAGAATCTGTGTGAGGAAATACTTTAAGGATTTGGTTTTCATTTGTGAAAAATAAGATAAGTTGTCAAGATACCTGCCTTTACTTTGAAAGCCTTTAAAGAAAATGACAAAAGGGCTTTATTTTTCTTTTGCCTCTTTTTTTTTTTTTTTTCTTTTTTTTTGGTGTGTGTGTGTGTTTTGTTTTGTTTTTTGAGTTGTGTTTTTCTGTGTGACGGGGAGATTAGCCAAAAAAATGGAATTTTTATTAGGACATGAAAAGGTCTCTAATGACCCTTGAAAGCGGACAAAAGGGTAGCACAATAAGTGACAGAACTCTAACGAGGGTGGAGGGCATTCCAGGAAAAAAAGAAATTAAATCCTTTAATTTTTTTCGGCTTGCCATTTTCTGACAGCTTATCAAGTGGTTAGGACTTGTTTGTTTTGGCATGTGGTTCATTCATTGTAGGCAGCGGGTACTTTGTTCTTCTTTGTGGTTTCCAAAACCTGATTGTGTTTATCCTAGACTGTGGGAAAAGTGTATATTCCTGTTTCCTTTATAAAAGTAAACGTCAGGTTTTGTATGAAATTTTATTTCCCATATTTTCCATTCCATTAATCATTATTGTTGAAATATGTCAGGCTTTGGCACATCATCCTTTGTTTTCATATGATCGTACAGATTGCAGTGTCAGTGTGTGACCTGTTAAGTCAAAAAATAAGCATATCTGGGCTGTAGTAATTATTACTTCATAAAGTGTAGCTGAGGAACATGCACCGTTATTGCATAGAGGGACCAGGATTTAATTTATCGCTATTAAAATTTTTTGGGGGGGCTATCTAGCTATTGTTGTATAACACTTTCTCGCTTAAGGCTAGAGAATACAAGACTAAAGGGAGCTGTGATAATGGCTCCTCACATATGTGTAGGTAGCTGTAAAAAGAAAGGGAATAATCTGTGTTTCCTGTCTGTGATGAAAAAGAGGAGAATTAATGTGCTGCAGTTACAGTAAGGGTTATTCTACTCAGATATTAGGAACAAATTTCCTGATGATAAGGATGCTGAACACTGAGATAAATTAGTTAAGGAGACTGTGATATCTTTGCAATTGGAAGATTTTAAGAATGGGTTAGACACACATTCTTTGGGAGTGACACAGGTGTGTTTTGATTCTGCCAAGAGTACTAGACTAGAAGATCTCTCAAGATGATTTGCAGCCCTATTCCCAGACCTTGTTGACTTTAAAATGCTGAAGACCTCCATGGAGCTCTTTGTTTGCAATTTATATTCACCTTCTCAAATCTGTGTTTCTGTATTTGTATGTACGCCTGGCATTGTGAAAGTATTAGGGCTGTGTTCTGTGACTAGGGCCCTGATTTTGAGTCTATACGTGCCATAATTTAACAGCAGGAAGAAAAAAGGAGAAAAAACTTCTCACGTTGGAGGAGATGATTCACACGAAGAAAGAATTCTTTGCATTTTGCATATTTAGATTATGGATAATACTGTGTTAAATCAATAACATATTTTCTTTGCATTGTCTTGTGGCTTACTGACAATGTAATATTTGAAGACTGTTTAATAACTTCAATCAACTCTTGAACCACAGTAGGTGACCAGACATTTCATAAGGTCATTTTTTTTTTTTTCTGTTTTCAAAGTAACATCATTGGAGGTTTGCATTTTAAAAAGAGATTAAAATGTCTCTCATTAGGAGAGAATGAAGATAATACTAAATGTAACAGGAATACAGAATCACAGATGTTTAGAGATGGCAGAAGCCTCATTATTCATGACATTCATCTTTTTGCAAGCCCAAGGTTGTTCTGTGTTGTACTTGGCCATATTTGTTTTCATTGCTCTTCAAAAATAAATTTTATTGAGTTGACTGAAATGAAACCAGAATTTGATCTGAAGTATGAATTCGACTTCTAGTACTGAAACTGTTGAAGGAAATGGTTTTATCTGTTTTATAGATTTATGTGTTCAGTATTCAATTAGTTTTGATTATTTTACAGTAATGTGACACACAGAAAATGGAATTACTTCAAATTCCGAAGATGCTTCTAATCAGTTTTTACATCTGTTTTTTTTTCAGCGACTTTCTCGGAATGCCTCTGGAGATACAAGCATTCAGTTTCTAGGCACAGTGGTAAGTATGTATAACTATTGTCAAGAGTTGTTGGTAGAAGAATATGATGTAAACAAAAAAATAAGTAAATTACACTGGCAGCACATTTACTCTTGTATTATGTGTAACTACTCTGAGCTTAACAGGTGAATTTAGGCAGATTTCTGAAGCTGACTTCTAAGTCGCAGTGCACAGTATCTGCATTCAACATTTCAATTGATTCAAGTCTGCCTCTATTTCATTTACAAGGGGTTTAAGAGTAACTGGTTGTAGATTTGTAAGCTTATTGCAACATACTCAGGTTTGATCTACATCAGGATCAAACCCACTCTTCCCCACCACCTCAACTTTGTGCTCTCTGTTGCTTCAATGTGCCACATAACCTCACATCCCAGAGGGGAGTCAGTAACTGTCTTATGAAAAGACTGTTTAGTAAAGAAAAGTGGTCTGTCCTTTTCTCAGTCTAACCAAATGTGATAGCTCTGTAGTTCTTCCAGATTTCATTTGTTGAAGAGAAGTATGCTTAAAATCCAAATCAGATTTTATACCATTAGACAGAATTTACTCAATAAAATAGATTTTTTTCATCTGCTATTATCTGGAGCAGTCATGTATAATATAGAAACTAGTTTTGTCCTAGGTGACAGATGCTTATAAACGTATATGTGGTTGAAGTAGCTTCCAATTCCATGATTTGCATGATTAAAATACAGTCATTGAATTTTTCTGAGTACTGTATGCACCTTAAAATAGTTCTGAAAATGAAATAAAATTGAAGTGTCTTCTAAAGTAAGTTGTCCAGATTGCTGCCAACAAGTTTCCCTATAGTGACATTAACAGTGAAAAGCCTGAGAATGAAATGTTCCCTTTAGAATTTAGTTCTAACATCTCTGTCCACTGCATGCTTTGAAGAAAAGTAGATCAAGATTGCATATGATAATGCTTTCATTCTACTTACTTGTGATTAGTTCTTCTACAAGTCCTATGAAGCCATTTTTTGGGAGGTATAACATGGTAAGAGTAAACTTAACAAGAATACCTGTAGATTTGCATGTTGTTTTTTAGAGATGAAAAGTTCAAAATATTTTTTGCTTCTATAAATATATATCTGTATATGCATATACATTTACTTGTCTTATTCAATATCAAGCAGAGTGGCAGTTACAAATAAGACATAAAATAAAAATTTTGTTCTGCACTTTTGTGCTTGTAATGATGCTTCAGCTCTGGAGTTGCATCCTGCATATGTGAGATTGCTGCTAGCTGACTGATCTGATAGTCTTTGTGTGAGAAGAAAATAATTACTCCAAGTAGATAAGATATAAACACAGATGCAACTTGATAAGAAAATACTGAAAAGATTTTAATCAATCCCTTGTGAGTGCTGTAGTAGAGAAAATTCTGATTAAGTGTGTATTTAGCGACATTAAAAATTAAATTTGTTCTTAAATTAGAGATGAAAACATTTTGTATTCATATGTTAGAAGTGCCTCAGAGTCTCACTTACAGACTAGAACTCTTGTGCTGGGCCTTGTGCAACAACAAAAGAAGACAAAAGAGGGTACAGTATTGATGTGCTTTTAGCTTTGAAAAATTGATGACGCAACAGCTAATGGTTTGTAATGTATATCAGATGTTACTGACTAGCTCATGTGTGTTTATTGGATCCTAGTTATTTTGGGAAATCAAGTATGTGATTACAGCTAAAATTCTCAAGAGGACTAAACAGAAAAGCCTGTATGTAGTACTCTATCCACGATTTTTTATTTCATATAAATTACGCACATATCTTGCTGATCAAACCCAGAGACAGAACTTCAGTGAGCAGGGTAGAGAAGCAATAATGAAGTCCTCTATCCAGGTTTTGCTCCAATACCAGTTTTTCCACTGAATCCAAGCCAGAGTCTACACTTGGGTTCCTGTCAGTTCCTTTAGCCTACTGTCTTTCTTTCCCTAAGTCGCTTTATTTAATTTGTCTTTCGCTCCTTTAACATCCTTGTACTTTTCTGATTTCAATTTAACACACTCAGATTAGGTAATGGTGGGGAAGGGTGGGTTTTCCTTATAATGATATCCCCTACACCTGTGGATACACAGTCTATATATGTGTACCTGCATGTGTATGTGTACAGATATTTATTTCTTTTGAACATTCACATTTGTGTATCATCTTAATGAAGGTCCTAGGAATACATTTTGGGCTCACCATTACATGTTTCTTACTAAACCTTTGCTGACATGAAAGTGCTCTGAAGACAGTAAGTGTTTGACATGAGTATTTGGCAGTGGGAAACTCTTCATTGCTCATTATTATTGTAATGTATTGTTATCAATGTAATAAACAGCTTGTGAAATTACTGCTCTGCTCTTTTTTTTCATAGTAGAAAACGTTAGGGATAGCTTTGAGCATTCTGTGTTACTTTTGATGGGGGCAAATGTTGATGGCACTTCAGTGGTGGCAGGCAGTGTGGTGCTACTGACTGTACACACCACTGACCTGTGCATCAGAACATATTTTTAGAACCAGCTGACCACGAGCACAGCTCCCTGGCTTGTCAGGAGGGAATCAGCTTCAGTAAATGGCTTCACTTGATTTTTTTTGACGTTGGACGGTAGGAACAATTCTGCCACTGTTTTTTGATAAAACAAGCCCCTGCTTCAGGAAGCCAGCTGACACTCTGAGGAGAAGTGAAAGGTACGCTTCTTTATTAGAAACATCCTTGCTGTCCCAATTAGCTAGGTGAAGGGCAGAGAAAACTACAGTGCAGCAGTAAGACAACAGTTTTAATATGAATTCTGCTGCATAACATATGGTAAACATGTGGACAGTAGGACAAATGTTTCTGTTAGTGTAGCAGCATACAGGAAAAATAATATTGCTTTCCCCAGTGAAATCATAGCCTTGAGTGCACACTGTTAGCATCATTTGGGGGTCTACATAGATTTATAATAATATTTCTATTTGTTTCTGATCATGAGTAGAAATTCTTTGCTACTTGAGCATTTCTCTTCAAATTGTGTGGCATTAGATAGCTTGTTTTCTTCAAATTGATTTTTGGTAGCAGGTTATGAGTCTCAGATCTAATGTGACACTCGTGCTATTTGAGGATGTACAAGAATGTTTCTGCCTGAGAAGCAAGCAGCTTTTAGCTGTAAGAAATAGTTGTTGAATAGGAAGTTACACTGATTTGGTTTCACTTTCTCGGGATGATAAAATTTTGAGTCCTGATTCAATTATTTCAGAACAGATCATGGGTTATTGCTGTAATTTAAATTTTGCATGAGTTTTTACTCATTGTTCCTTTCTGATAAACGTGGCTAGATAGCATGTGCTGATGGAGGGCTGCTATTCTGCTGATTTATGCTAGAATTATTCACATAGTGTATTTATTAATAGCATTACCATAACACTAAGGAATCTTATCGTGCTATATATTGCACAAAGACAAATGAAACAAGGCAATACCTGCTTCAGATTGATGTCCAAAACCATGCCCGAAACAAGAAGGCAGTCCTTTATGGGTTGTCTCCTCTGTGTAGTCAGCTCACAGAAGTAGGTTTGTAACAAATTTAGAATCATTTAGGTTGGAAAAGACCTTTAAGATTGTGTCCAACCACTGACCTAACACTGCCAAGTCCACTACTAAACCATGTCCCTAAGTGCTATCTCTACACGTCTTTTAAATCCCTCCAGGGATGGTGACTCAGCCACTTCCCTGGGCAGCCTGTTCCAGAGCTTGACAACTTTTTCAGTGAAGAAATTTTTCCTTATATCCAGTTTAAACCTCCCCTTGTGCAACCTAAGGCCATTTCTTCTTGTCCTATTGCTTGTTACTTGGGAGAAGAGACCGACACCCACCTCGCTACAACCTCCTTTCAGGCAGTTGTAGAGAACGAGAAGGTCTCCTCTCAGCCTCCTTTTCTCCAGGCTGAACAACCCCAGTTCCCTCAGCTGCTCCTCATAAGACTTGTTCTGTAGACATAAAGATCTATGGAGGAATACTGAAGTCTATACACAGAGCTTCTGCTTCAGCCTCTGAAGTTCAAAAGCCTATATGTTTGAGTAGTATTTTCAGAGGACCAAAGTCCACCGTTCATGCTTCTCTTTCTAGTTAGCCTCCAGTTTCTGTCTTGTGTCTTTGTTCTACCTTCTGTTCTCGTATGTGAGTAATGTGTTTTGCTGGCCCACTGATGGCCCCAATCATTTGCTGCTTATTCACACCTCTGTCAGCTAGACTTCAGCAATGAAATATGTCTGGGTGGGCAGCCCAGCTGCAAGTATTTAGAGAATTACAGATTATTACGGAAGCAATAAACTCATTCTATACTTTGTGTGATGGCCTCTGTATAGAATTTCAAATAAAGAAATACTGTCTGTATGCTCAGATAGTGAGTGGCCTGGCTCCATCACGTTCGTAATATCATTGTCAGCTTTGGGCTGCAGGCCATGCTTGACAGCAGTGCTCTTCTGGCCCTGTGGAACACTTTCCTCAAAAGAGACAGTCCCAGACAGTGAAGAGTCCCCAGCTACAGTGGAAAATTTCACTATCCTCTGTTCATCATTTGTGCCATTTCTTTGATCTTCTGTTCTCTAAAATCAGAGCAGTGATACAGAGAAATACAGCTACTTCTTTCATCTGGGGAAGGATGAAAGAATGTATATGTGACAGACGTTAATCATGTTGCTCAGTATATTTCTTGGCAACATTCCTTCAGTGCTGAGCACAATATAGGAACCCACATGGAACAGAGTGGAATTGCTCTAGCCTAAGAATCTTTAGGTGCTTCTGAGTTTCCTAGCACCATTTTCTTGTTTCAGTCTTCTCACTAGAGGTTTTGCCATTCCTTCAGTCTCATCCCTGGTGGAGTGCTTTTTTGCCACCTTTGATTTACAAAGCATTTGAAGTTTTCCTGTGGAGGCTTATGTTATCTTATGATTACTATTAGCCTGTTAATCTACACTTGCTGTCTTTCAGCTTTTTTGCAGACCGATTTAAAATAGTCCAGAGACTCATTGCTAT